TTTTCTCTGTCACAATGAGGAAGATGTATTATTTGCGTGGTTAGTGACAGGGCTCGCAACAGGATCTCACATCGTCTTATGTTGTCTCTACATAAAATGTCGCAAATACATAGTTCTAATTGCAAATTACCACAGGCTGGCATTTGAACGGGAATGAGTGCTTCCGCGCGGAAAGGCTTGCCACTCTGGTCAAGAGCCTGGAGAGTGAAGTTGTAAGTGGAAGCTGGCACCAGGTTGGTTATTGTTTCCTCAGTATTCTGCAGTTTATAGCTCTTGGTAAAGGTGCGATTGGTGACAGTGAGCTGATACTGGCGTCCCCATGGCTGTGAAATATTTGGTGCCTTCCAGGTCAGATGGATAGTTGTGCAGTTGATAACCGATGCGGTGAAATCTTTTGGTACTACCGGCACACCTACAAAGAAGCGATAAGTAAAGCGTCACATTTCGAAAATCCACGGGCAGCTTCGGTTTCAATGAGGCACAATTTGCCAAGTACGGCAGTAGCAGTGACAGTCTTGCGGCTTAATATCAATTTTGTCAAAGACAGATGAGGCTAGATGCAGATCAATTAACAATTACCTGCTGAAGGCTTTCGTATGGGAGTGGTTGCGACTTTGGGAACATCTGTGCCATTGGCCCAAACACCTTGCACGGTGACATTGTCAACTTTAGAAGTATCCAAGCCGCCAGCGATGATCCAGGTCTCCTTCGTTGTATAGGTCTTCTTATAGTCTGGACCCCATATGGTAACGTGATACTCGTCTTTGAATTTGTCCACAGGACGTGGTTTGGTCCAGCTCACAATGATGGTGGTGTCGTTCACTTGCGAGGCAGTCAACTCTTCTACAGTTGTGTACTCTGCAGACAAAATAGGATAGAGTCATTTGCTAAATCTGACTGGAGAGTGCAAAACCATTTCTTATTCTTATCTACTGATTGCTATCTGCCTGTTAGATACCATTAACTGGAGCGTGGAAAAGCCTTAGTATATGTACATGGAATACGGTATCGATGATAATAATAGCAATTTACCAGTGATTGTTAATTTCACTGAAATTGATG